TTTCTTTCACGGTAGATGTACTAGTAATCTTTGTATGTATCTGTGATGGTGGCCACAGTTGCTATCTGCCCTCCTCAAGCATCAGCGTATAACTACAGATGTTATTTTGCCTCAGCTTCAGGAATGGCTGCTGTATTCATTTCTTCACCAACTGACCCATCTTACTCTTAGATCCCACTGAATATCTGGGCCATCTTCTACCCTCGGCGCTGCGCAGAGCAGGCTGAGGAGCTGGTTTCCACCTTTAAAAAGGTGGCCGGGCCTATTGGGGTGCGACTGGAGCGACCCATACGCGTGGAGCTGAGGGATGATCGCACTGAGACTTACGTCAAAAGCATCCACTCTCAGCTCACCAGCGAGGTAACGACATTTAGATCAGCTTAACGAGTAGTTTATTAAAAAGAAGTAATGCTGACAGTGTTCAGCCGAGTCTGTGGAAACACTCAAAACATGTCATTTTACTTCAAAGTAAAAACGAATGCTATAGCAGTGTTTATCACTGCAGATATGCGACCATGCTCAGTCATAGAAAATACAGGATTTCATTTTTATTTGCATTTTAATCCATCTGTTGTGCTGCTCCGTATAAAAGAGCACAAGCTGTTGTAGTTCAGGGGTAATCAACAGGTCAGAGTCTTGCAGTGGAGTATTACTGACATTTGTGTTGTCTTTTAAATACATAAAAGATTAGATATGTGTTATATTAATGTCCTCGCTGCATTCACAAACAAATCCATGCTCTTGCTGTGACGGAATAGCAGTTGAATAGTTGCTGGCATCTAAAAACTTTTTTTTTTGCAGAAACAAGACTGCAAAATGACAGTGGTTGTTCTGGTTGCCCTGGGCAACCAAAGCAGCATTTACTGTCAAGCCCTGAATGATTTTGCATGTTAACTGCAAACTGCGTTGACATGGCTGCTAACAGGTTTTCCAGGCAGCACGCTGGAAAACCATGGACAATATGACTGAATTCAGCATATCCTTTTTATCCATATTTCTCTGAAAGATCATCTCTTTAAAATATCTAGAAAGATACTTAAGCAGCAGCACAAGTTTGACCATGTTGAAATGTTTACTGTCCATCCTGAGTAAGTTTTCATTATGTGTTTACAGCCCAATATGCAGCTCGTAGTGTGCATCATGGTCGGCAACAGAGACGATCTCTACAGTGCCATTAAGAAGCTCTGCTGTGTCAAAAGTCCCATCCCATCCCAGGTTTGTAATGTTTGTCGAGTGTTTGTGCATGGCTTTTCTTGAAATGATTTTGAATGATATATATAGTCTTTTTTTTCTTATTTGTTGTCAGGCCATCAATGTGCGGACAATTTCCCAGCAGCAGAAGCTGAAGAGTGTTGCCCAAAAGATACTCCTGCAGATGAACAGCAAGTTAGGAGGAGAACTTTGGACTGTCAGTGTCCCTCTGGTGAGTGTCATGCCTTATCTACTGGGACGAGACAGTTGGATGAGGTGGGGAATATCATCTTAATTGTGATTTTTCTGTCCAATAATGTGGTAGGTACATTATGGTTCATGAACCAAGTATTTACCAGTACCTTGTGATAACGATGCATCATTTAAAGGAGTATTATTGGAACAGCATTACAAAACTGTTGATGTGAATAATATGAAGTCAAAACATCACTGCAGTCAGTGGAGAAATAATGAATCTATCTCACTTGAATAGAAACACTTGATGGTGGTGGGAGTTGATGTCCACCATGACACCAGCAAGGCACATCAGTCAGTCATGGGCTTTGTCGCAAGTGTGAACAGGTAAAGTTATTTTTCCACACACTTTTGGTTGTTTGGATTTAATATTTTCTCAGTAGCTATTTGTTTGTGTTTTGGAGAGCCACCATGTATTTCACCTTTTCTCGCGCAGCACCTGTGGTACTTCAGTCCTAATGGAAATGCATTTGCTTTTTCCTTTTTCCAGCTCACTGACCCGCTGGTACTCCAGAGTTACTTTCCAGACACCCACTGAGGAGCTGATCAATGGCTTCAGAGTTTGCTTTCTGGCTGCACTGCAGAAGTACTACGAGGTAACATACAATACATAAAATGCCGCCACCCCCGCCCCCCCTCCCTGAAACACAACTAATCCTTTCAGGCAAGACTGACCGATGACTGGGACAGACATTCCCTCCCTTGTTTTGTCTGTTCCTCTCAGCTGGATCAGCATCTCCATAAAATAAGCCATAATTAAATAAACCACTGGCCCTCTGTGTATGTATTTGTTTGTGCAGGTGAACCACAATTTGCCAGAGAAGATTGTGGTGTATCGGGATGGTGTGTCAGACGGTCAGCTGATGATGGTGGAGCAGTACGAGATCCCACAGTTGATCAAATGCTTTGAGACTTTCCCCAGCTATGAGCCCAAGCTGGTCTTCATTGTAGTCCAGAAGCGCATAAGCACCACCCTCTACTGCTGTAATGCAAACAACTTTGGCACACCTCCACCTGGAACTGTTCTGGATCACACCCTCACCCAGAGAGACTGGTCAGTCGGCTGCATTTCTTGAAGCAGTGGTGAATCCAGCCTTAGGCCACAGACGTCCTGTTTTCTGCTTTAATTAGCTTTTACACAAGCAGTGCCGTTGGAAAGAGGAAAAAGGTGCTGTGAGATGTTTCCAGTTTGTGGTACAATTAATGTGCAGTCTGAGTATAATATAGGAAGAGAATTTATGTGAGCATATCACAAAAATATCATTCTTAAATAAAGGAAGTAGATTGTTCCAGTGCTGTATGAGCAGGCCAGAGGGATAATGGAAGAGGGCCACTGGTTTTTATCTTGTTTACCTGCGTACATCAAAAAGGCTGCAGCACCATCTCCTGGCAACAGTAGTAAATATGTGCACGTTGATGAGGAGACCAGCAGAGACTCAATGTAACTTCTGTTGGTTCTTAGGGTCTAATGCTAAAGGGTTTTGTAATATATATTTTTTTTTTATTCAGGGTGGACTTCTATCTGATGGCACATCACATCCGCCAGGGCTGTGGACTTCCTACTCACTACATCTCTTTGTACAACACAGCAAACCTCACACCAGACCATTTGCAAAGGTATTAATAACCACTAAGCATCGTTCTGACTACTGGTGCACATTTAAAACATGTCATTAATTCTATGCTATCAGTAAATGGTGAATTTTTTTAACCAGCTAATAAATGTTTCTTCAGCAGAACAGTACTTTTTGAAAGTTTTTATTGAAGTTCATTGAAGTGGTGAAAAACAACACATAAAAAGACCATATTTATTTATATATTTATATTTTATATGGACCTCGCTGCATCCACCTGCATTCAGGATAATGATATGAATATATATATATATATATATATATGAATGATAAAAGACTTTAACGTTGATGTTTGTTTAGTCACATTTAACATTGTTGCTCTGGTCCCACAACAGGCTGACTTTCAAGATGTGCCATTTGTACTGGAACTGGCCAGGTACCATTCGTGTTCCAGCACCGTGCAAGTATGCCCACAAACTGGCTTACCTGTCTGGCCAGTACCTGCACTCAGAGCCGGCCATCCAGCTGTCGGACAAGCTCTTTTTCCTTTGAGCTGCACCAGTTACTGCCACAAGCAAACTGCTCCGGTCACAGCACAAGCAGCTGTGATGAAAGACGATGCTGAATGACAAGCAACTCATTTGAATGAATGAGTGATTGATTATTGACATGTGGCACTTTAACGTATTCTGTAGATTTCACCCAGGACTCCCACATAGATCACTACTAGTGATGTTTCTGAGAAGGCTGCCTCGCCTCTCACACCTTCATAAGGGCTGATGCTTTTTGTGAATGTAACACTGTATTGCATTACTGCAGTAATTACAATGTGTGGCATATTAGTATAGGCACATTTTAGTTTCAAGTCTAGTGGAAAAAAGTAACAGTTAAGTTTAAGATGAGTACTGACCCAACGTTTACAAAGTTTTGACTGTCTGATTTTCAGTGTTTTGGGGGTGCTGTTCCTGTGGCATAATTATTACAGTTCTGTTAATGTTCACACCCTTTCACTGTGACAAATTTTTATTTACAATTTTGTACTTTATAAATCAGTTTATGAAACATGAGTCTTTTTTTTTTCTTCCTCAAACACATTATGGAGTGATTATGATGGTTCAGGTGAGTTGAGGACATAGCATTTGCAGGACACATGGACCAGAATCTTGACATTTATTTTTAGAAAAAATATATACTATACCTTTCTGCTCTGGTTAGATATGTTTTATTTGTCAGTTAAAGAAGCAAAGGTGGACCATAATGAAAGCGATGAAGACATTATATGGCAGAGGAGATTGCCTTACACCAACATCACTTGTGCCCAGCTATGTACCTGGAAAAAGCCTGTGGCTGAACGGAGTTTCAGTAATGTTAAAGGCACTCTGTTCCCTGCGATCATCTTCAATCATTAGGTTTTCTTTTAAAGCATTTTAATTGAATTTAGCCTTCTTTTATTGCATTATTTATATTTGTGCTTTTCTGACATTATATATATTAATTTAATTGGACACCATAACCTTACACCCATGTGTGACTGAACATCTCATTTCAAAACCATGGAGATTAAAACCCTCCACTCTTGTAGGAAAATGTTACGGTTCAAAGGTGGACCAAATTGCAGACAGGACCTGAGAAAGTGTAAGTAAACAAAAGGTGACTAATACTAGTAGAAGGGGGTTACCTAAGCTGGCAAGGCAACACACACTAACTAAAAACAGGAGTCCAACAAAGTTCATGGTTTTTAATGGCCTTTAAAGAACATCAGTGCAAAATGATTAGCTTATGAAATCAAACCACCCTACCTAAATTGGATACATTAAATTTATACTGTAATTTCCTGGTGCAAAATTTCAACATGATACATGAACAGCACTGTCAAAATTTATTGTAGGCCAAACCTAGTTGGAGAAAATATTTGTGTAAAATAAATGTACCTGTATTTGCCTTTATGATGTACTGTGAGAGTCCACTTTGGCATTTTGTATTTTCATTAGATTATAGATTACAAATGTGTGGAGCTGAAATAATACAAAACAAAAAGCAAAACATGAAAAAGGAGAAGTAGTGACTAAATCATAGGTGTAAAAAGTCATTAGGCAGTAAAATCTCAAAAGTCAACGTCATTTGTAAGTTAAAGTCATTGAGGAATGTTCTGTGGAATGAGGTAAGATCACATCATGTTTTGATTCACGGTGCTACTATAAGCAGTCTATCAATTATTACCCCCTTTGGAGACAGCCCTTATCCAGAGTCCAGTCCAATTGGCAAAGAACATTTTTTTTAAATCAGAGATGGCTTTTTCCTAGTTGATTCATTCATTAACTCTAGAATGTCCCTCTGTTGACTTCACCGCTAATGTGGAAATGTCTTTGGTAATGATCTGGCAGTAAAACTTGCAGAGAGAGCAAAAAACACTGACAATGCGAGTAGTAAAATAAATCTGAAACATTTAAATTTGTTTCTCTAAGAGGTGGACTCAAAGGATGAAGCATTGGGATTTTTCTCCATGTTTCTGCTTCTTTTCTTCCATTTCTTCTCTCAGTTTTTTTATTTCCTCTTCCAATTTCAGCCGACTATGTTCCCCTTGTTGTTTAGCACTGTGTTCCAATTGAGATATTTTCGCCTCTAGTTTTCTGATCTTTTCTACAAGTTGTCTTGTGTTGACACTCTGTGACTCCATCTGTTCCTTTTCCATAACTTCCCTTTCCAACAGCTCAGTGTTGTAGCAGCTGCCGCCATTTTCCTTCACCATGGCCTCGATCTTGTTCACCAGCTCTCTGACTTGTGTGCGGTCTGTGTCATCTTTGTTATTGAAGACCAAGAATCGGTTTCCACAGTCCTTGATGAGTTGTTTGACAAAGTCGTCACAATCTTCGATGTAACTATCAACTGACCGATCGTCCAGAGCATCACCTCTGGTGAATATGATGAAGATGAAGTCTCCTGACTTCTTTCCAAAAACCTTTTTGATCAGTTTCACAGAGTCTGTTTCTTCTTCTTTTATGTTTCCCATTTGCAGCACTACTATGAACGCATGAGGTCCAGGAGCCAACATGCTGATGCATTTGAGAAGCTCCTGTTGAATTTCTTCATCGGTCAGAGGTGTGTCCAACAAGCCAGGGGTGTTGACTACAACAACGGGTCGGCCATCAATCTCTCCTTTTGCTTCCTCACAAGACGTGTTTGCTGGCTTTGGGGCAATTCTGGGTTTAAAATGCTTTTTGCCCAAAATGGTGTTTGCTGTGGAATTCTTCCCGCTGCCAGTCTTCCCAATCAGCACCATCCTGAGACACTCTCTGCTCGGATTTTCGTCAATTCCAATCTCATTCCTCTGTTTAACTTCCTGCAGTTCAGCTTTAAGTCTTGAATTAGCATTTTCCTGCTCTACAAGTTTCTCCATCTGAGCCATTGTGAACAAGTCCTTTGTGAAGCATCTGGAATTAGCAACGCTCATCTTTTCCACATAATCCAACAGTTCTGGGATCTGCTGCTTGTCCTTGATGTTGAGAACAACATATCTTCCTCCACAGCTCTGGCAGAGCTCCTGGATGTCCTTGTTTTTCTTCAGAAATGTATCAACAGCTGGATCTGTAGGATCTGAGTCCACAGTGAACAGAATCATGGTGAAGTCATTGACTCGAGAGCTGAATGTGTTCTGGATGGTCTCTAACTCTCCCTTGTCTTCATCAGTGAGGGGACCCACAGGTAGGACCAGGATGAAGGCATGGACGCCCTTACAGATGGTCATACACTTAAATGATTCCTTCATCACTGTGTCCTGAGGTTTTCCATTCAAGACAGGCAGCTCCACCACAGAAACCTGACGTCCACACACCTCTCCCTGATTTTTAACACTTGAGTTGGAAGCTGATTGAAGCTCTGTCCGACCCAAAATGGCCTTGGCTGCTGAAGTCTCTCCTCCCACAGGGGTCAGACCAGAGTTCCAAAGCTGGTTTGATGATGTTCTCACTGAAAAGTGAGAGGTTCTTTGTTTTCATGCACAATGTTCTCAATCTTCTGCATTAACAATGTGTGGTTGTCTTCAACCATGCTGTAGTGTCTTCCTCCACAGTCTATAAGAAGCTGATTCACATGGAAACTTGTTTCATTCCCCTCATCTGAGGTGATGACCATTGAGTATTTTAAAGCATCTTGACCAAACAAACTCAGGATGAACTTCAGTGTTTGTCTGTTCTCCTCAGTGAAATCAGAAGGTTTCACTAACAGCAGAAGAACATTTGGTCCAGGAGGACACAGAGTCACACAGCTCTTCATCTCTCTTCTCACGGCCTCCTCAGACAGACTGAACATGTTTGGAGTTTTCACCACTGTTAATGGTTTTCCTTTCCACTCTCCACAGATGGCCATACAGTGGTTGATTTGGGTATGTTTGTGGAAAAATTGCTTTCCAAGGATGAAGTTGCCAAGCGTTATCTTTAGATCTTCACTTTTCCCCAACAGCACAATCCTGAAGGCAGATGCTGTAATACAGCAAAGAAAGATATATTTTGTGTTTTGCAAACCACTGAGATACTTCAGCAGGGGGCCAATTCAAGCTGAAGTTTGACATTAAAATGTCCTACAGATAAAATAATTACACTAATGTAGTTCAGAAACGTAGGTTTTAGTCATTTTTCTGTCAAATATTGTATTTTACTGGTCCATGTGATATTTTCCACTATTGCCTATTGCCACTATTTCCACTATCTTATGTCATGTTATGGACTGGATGGAACAATCTTTAAATACATCGGTTAATTTTTCTGTTTGCTGGTGATGGGTTGTTTGACAGGTTTCTTTTGAACACTATGAAATAAAAAACCGATTACAAATCCAAATTGACCTTATAGATCTTATACGTATATGATGATGACCATGTGTAATAAATTCACTCACAGCTGCTGAAAAGGTTTCTTGAAGCTTCCATGATAGGTTTCAGCCCTACAAAAAAAAAAAAACAATGAAATTGGTGTCAGTTTAATGTTCTAACATTGATTGAGGCTTTTTATTATATTATTATATTTATTATTATATTTATCAAACATTTACCACTTACCAGGAGGTCTGACCTCCAAGTCAGCAGTGGACGGGTTCCTGTTTTGTCAGACTTTGATGATCAGCAGATGAATCACAGCTCATGCTTTCTTTTACATCTCAAATGGATTCACAACTAGAAAGGAAGTCAGTTTCTTCAAGTTAGACTCAGATAAAATCTGTCTGCCATTAAGAACTTCAAAATTCCCCACCAATGTTTCAAATCTTAAGATGATTTGGGCCAGTTTTCCAGATCAATAATCCTACTTCTAGGCTTTCCTTTTACTCAAATTGGCTGTCTTACATGTGCATTAGGGTCCTTTAGTTTAGTCTAGTTAATAGACAGGATCAAATGTTTGAGATTATTTTTATACAAGACTCACTTATATATATTTATGTACATTAAAAGAGTTGATGCGTGTGTTATTCTTCCTGTCCATACTGGCCTTGATAAAACACACAAATACACTAAGCTGAGAGACATTGATTTGAGCTCATGGCAACAACTAATGGTGATATATTAATAGGCTACTTGGACACATAGGGGCTAATTATTGATGTTATTTAATATTAAAATTAAAGTAGTTCATGGCATACATTTATTACACTGAATAGAAACTAACTGTTAATAAGAGTGGTGAGATCCATTATTGCCATGAATGCACTCTTACTGAGCAATTGTACTTTTCTTTTACAGTATATTAATCTGTGCACATTGGTTGCAAACAGGGTTTAGCAATATGTGTTAATGTAATTCTACATTGATATTTTGACCAACAGGGGACCAGAACTTTATTCAATACTGCTGTAGTGCTGGCTAATGTCTATGCTCCTTATTATGATGATGAGAGTTTTTTTGTTAGATTTCTGTCATCCATCCCGAGCCTTGACTCTCACCATCTGATAACTGGAGGTGACTTCAACACCCAAACCCAAAACCCAATGTTGGATAGACCAAGAGACAAATAACTACATCCAGGTCGGCAAAGGCGATAAACAATTTTCTTAAAGATTATGCAGTGGCAGACGTATGGCGTTCTCTTAACTCAACTACTAGAG